CAGGAATGGTATATATACTATCGAATTCTGTTGAGTATCAGAAAAATTGATGTTTGGCTTGAATTCAAGCCAGTTATATACCTGTATCGGAGTCAACTAAATGTTTTGTCTGATATTTACTCTACCAACTGATATATTTTGAGGGCTCAAATCAATGTTTTAGCCAGGTTCACGGACACAAAAGAAAGTTGGATGCATGTCTCTAATTGACTTGAATTCAAGCCAAACATCGATTTTTATGGTACTCAACAGAATTCGATAGAAAAAAATTTTCTCTACAAACCTACATATCTCTCATTCCTGGGTGAAATTTTAATATGAAATTTGTAGTCGTCTTTGACTATAATTTGAACTTCTCAGCTTAAATAAACTTATTGATTTCGATATAATACGAATCTCAACGCTTATTTTTTTTAAATTTATTTCTTTGGAAAGAACATATCGAAATAATGATATATATAGGAAAGATTCATTTTCGTGAGTTTTGCTTATTTTATCAGATATTTCAGTTCAATATGTTCCTCATTGAAAGATATGAATACAATTTTAATAATTTTTTTTGTTTAGTACAAATTATGCAAAGTTAAAGCCGTCTGCATGGGTCCAAAGAAAGTCCCATATATATTAACACATGATGCTCGAACAATTCGTTATCCAGATCCACATATCAAAACTAATGATACCATCAAACTTGATATTGCTACTGGAAAAATCGAAGAACATATTAAATTCGATACTGGTATTGATCATTTTTTTGTAATAAAAAAAATGAACTAATTTTTCCTTTAGGTAATATTGTCATGATTACTGGTGGACACAATTTAGGTCGTGTTGGTATTATTCAATCACGTGAACGTCATCCAGGTTCATTTGATATTGTTCATGTTAAAGATGCATCTGGACATACATTTGCTACTCGGTAAATTAAAATTTCGAAATAAATTTCATTTTTATTTTCTTCTTCATTTTAGTTTGGCTTATGTATTTGTTATTGGTAAAGGACAAAAATCTTGGGTATCATTACCAGCTGGTAAAGGTATTCGATTATCAGTTGCTGAAGAACGTGACCGTCGTCTTGCTGGCAAAACTGCATAACTTAACATCCTGATTTTACAAACGAAACACAAGAAAGAAAAGTTCCGCTGTTTTTTGTTTGTTGATAAAAATAAAAATAAAAATAAAACTGAACAGAAGAATTAAGTTCGAGAAAAAAGAAAAAGAAAAATCAAACATTGTTTTAGATAAACACATACACACACAATGGATATTGATGAAGAAGAAATTTCGAATGAATCAACACATGTTTTAAATGATCGAATAACATCAACAGTTGATACAGATTTTTATGTAGTATATAAAAAATTACCACCAAAAACTGCTGTAACAATAAGATTATTTGAACGTAATGAATTCTATACATGTCATGGAGATGATGCATTGTTTATTGCAAGAGAATTATTACATTCAACGAATGCATTGAAATATTGGAAAACATCTGGTATAAAGATAAAAAAGAGAAAGAAAAAGAAGAAATTAGTTTTCTTTTTATTACAGATACAAATAAGCCACTTGAAACAATATATATATCTAATAAACAATTTGAAGATATTCTTCGAAAACTTTTATTAGTTAAACAATATCGAGTTGAAGTGTGGAAAAAAGCACAAAAAGCATCAAATGAATGGTCATTGGCGTATCATGTGAGTTTTCTTTTGAAAACTATCGTTTCTATCAGAATTGAAACAGTTAACGAATATTGAAGTGAATGAAAACTATTTCACTAATTCTGTATAAGTTAAAGTTTATGAATTAATGCAATTAGAGATACAGTTTTTAAATTATACTATATCAGTAATATGAAGACGAAATTTTTAGATTCAACGTTATCATAACGAGGTGAAATTTCTTAATAAGCACTAGTGCGCAACGCGAGACCAGAATCTACCATCGCAACGAAATTAGCCGTTGTTCATTTATGTATGATTGATATAACATGAAATAACCATTGTAGTTTTATGAAGTCAAAACTATACAGGAGTAAAATCAGGGGATAAACAACAGAGACTTCATGTCTGAAGTCTCACGAAATCTTTAAAATCTTCAGAAGTCTCATGAAGTCTTATGAAATCTCATGAAATCGTCTGGAATTTCTATAGATGCATTTATTTAACGGGGAGACGAGGGAGAAACAACAGAGACTTCATGCATGAAGTCTTTTGAAGTCTTCGAAATCTCTTGAATTTTATGGAGTCTCTTGAAGTCTTTTGAAAAAATGAAGTTTCGCTTGTTAAAGCCTTTCGAAGTCTTTAAAGTCTTGAAGTCTTGAAGTCTGCTGTTCCCCCTTTGAGTAAAACTTTATACAATCAGGGATATCGTCTTAGTTTTTATTATGACGCATTTTAGTATTTAGTTTCTTCACGCTTTAATCTGATTAGTCTACTTTCACGTGCAAAATATCATTTAATGCAAAATTCGACGTAAATGATCCGATACATATTTTTAGTTTTCTATTCCATCTAGTTAGGCTTCTTAAAAATTAAACAGGTCTTATATCAAATAGATTTATTTAGATTCTATTGAAACTCAGTGGAATCCATAGCATATATCATTGAGTTAAATCATACTGAATATCAAAGAACAATAAATCTACTATAAATTCAGTTTCTCAGATCGATCATATATGAAACGCTTTATTTTATAGTATTAAAACTATGATCTATTAATCATTGTATTATATAATTTCAGGGTTCACCTGGTAATTTAACTCAATTTGAAGATATTCTTTATGCCTCATCTTCAACAGCTCAAGAATCATCAGGTGTACTTGCATGTAAATTAGCAACAGAAAATGGTGTTACAGTAAGTTTTTGTTTTTCTTTAGAAAATTTATATTACACACGTTTTCTCTAGGTAATTGGCTTAGCACTTATCGATGTACAAACATTAACAATTAAAATGTGTGAAGTAACAGTTTCAAATCATTATTCAAATTTAGAAGTAAGACTAAAATATCCAAATGAAAATTAAATCATATTTATTATTTAAAAAAAAAATAGACAATTCTTGTTCAACTTGGTCCAAAAGAATGTTTATTACCATCATTTACTTCAACAGAAGATAATTATTTACAATTAAAAAAAGTTATCGAAAAATCTGGTGTACTTGTTACTGAACGACCAAAAGGTAACTAATATCAAAATTAGTATTAAAATAATATAATTTCTTCTTGTAGCTGAATTTTCTTCAAAAGATATTAAACAAGATCTTTGCCGTCTTTTGATTAAAGGTAAAGATGAAGATAATGACAAATTCGAAATGAAAATTGGCGTTATGCGTATGTTTTATAATATTTTGAAAAACAAAACAAGTTCTTTTGTTTTTTCTAGCTGAAATGCAAATGGAACATGCAAAATGTTCATTATCATCTGCTATCAAATTTCTTCAAGTAAAACGAACAAAATGTTTTTTTATTTCTATCATCAATTTCTTTTAGTTACTCTCAGACAAAAATCAAGCAAATCGATTCCATTTAAAAACACATCAACCTGAACTTTATATGCGACTTGATACAGCAGCTATGATTGCATTAAATATTTTTCCTGATAATCGACAACGACCTGATTTCAGTTAGTTATTATATAAGATTTTTATATATGAACATATGTAATTGAAAATAATTTAGGTTCTAATGCAAAATCTTCAAGTCTTTATGGTGTACTTAATAATTGTCGTACAGCTCAAGGGCAACGATTGTTGACTCAATGGTTAAAACAACCATTAACTGATATGGCTAAAATTAGTACGAATCTTTTTAATTGAAAATAAATTTGAGAGATTGAATTTTTTATTTCTGTATAGATGAACGATTGGATATTGTTGATGCATTTGTAAACGATTCGAGTATACGAACATTTATTGCACAAGATTTTCTTGGGCGTGTACCTGATTTTGAACGTCTTGTACGAAAATTTATTCGAAAGAAAGCAAATCTTGAAGTAAAAAAAGATGAATTTTTTTGCAATAATTATTTTTTTGTTGAATTAGGATTGTTATAAAATTTATGTTGCTGTTAATAAAATGCCTAAATTAATTGAATATATTGGTGAATTTAATGGACCAAAGAAAGGTGTACTTGATCATCTTATTGTTGTACCAATTCGAGTAATTTAAAAAGATAAAATTGATTGGAATTTAATTGTTAACGTTAATTATTTTAGGAAATGATTGATGTTTTTAGTAAATATATTGAAATGATTGAAACAACTATTGATATGGCTCGTATTGGAAATCATGAATTTGTTATTAAACCGAATTATGATAAAGATTTACAAGGTTTTTTTAAAATTATATTCTCCTTTTTTCGTTATTCTATGAAATCTTCTTATTGTCTTTTCAGAATGTCGTGAGAAACAAATTGAATTAGAATCAAAAATGCATGATGATTTAGCCACAATATGTAACAAATTATCTTCACATTTATCAACAACACCAAGTCGTTCTAAAAAAAATGGAGCTGAATCATCAAAAGAACCCATACGATTAGTTTATGATCCAAAACAAGGCGGATGGTTATATCGAATAAATCGTAAAGAAAGTGCAACTTTACAAAAACAATTATCTAATATAACAATAAAAGTAACAAAAAAAGAAGGCATATTTTTTCAAACAACACGTTTAGGTGAACTTAATACAAAATATTCCATGCTTAGTTCAACTTATAATGAAGCATCAAAAGAAATTATTGATGATGTTTTAAATATTGCATCAAGTTATTGTGATTCACTTAGTCAATTAGCAGAGTAAGTCCTTTCTTTTGGTAAAACGAAATCAGAGAGTGGAAACGAACCGGGTGGAACATCCCCTTGTTTAACCCTTCCAGGACCGTAGTATAACATATGTACCACCTACCCTAGAGGGCGGTCCAGGCTTTCTTTTAAACAAATGTTTTTTTTAGTCGCGGTTAAAAAGATAGTTTAAGAATAATACACTGATCGTGAAAGCAAAACTAGTCCTGAAAGGGTTAACTTCATTTAAAATATGCGAAATGCATTTGAATCTTAATTAACACGTAGATAGATATTTCCTTGTTATAATTTTCTAATAATGAACATATATAGCAAAATTTTTGCATCTATCATCTGTTAGAAATGATCTAGAAGATTAAGTTCTTTTTTTTTGCCTATTTTAAGACTTTATTGCTAAAAATAAGCATCTCTCTTATTCGATGTTCTTCTAGTGGAAAAAAATTGAACGGTGTTATTTATAATTCGTTTATTCTACAATTTACGCTCGTACGGAGACTCGCTCAGCTCTTTCTTGTAGAAATCGTGTCTCTAATAGAGCTAAAGACTGCTCTTCGTGTACAAAATGATTATCAAAAAAATTTCGTGTTCCTCGATTCCGATTAACATTCGGTCAGTCCTTATAAAGAAAATTTTTTTTTGTAAAAAAGTGGTTCTTTGTGTAAAAAACGGTCATTAAAAAAAGTTTCTAAAAACTAACATCAGGTTCGTGTTCCATGATCTCGATCACCCTTCGCTCAAAGTTTATGGAAAGCAATCAAGCAGACAATTTATGTTTATAAGACTCTTCTCTACGAGAAAGAGAACAATATGATAATTTAAAAAAAAATTAATGCATAGTGAGTGAGTCTTTGAAAATGTAACTCCAAAGTTAATTTCTTTACTAAACTAATTTCTCATTTGTAATCACGCCTCTATCATCATGAACATATCGTTACACATTAGTCATTCATAAGAGATATATGTCATAAAGGTCAACAACAAGCAAGAAGTCATGAAGAGAAAAGAACTGAAGCATAACGGTCATTTATCTTCCCAGTAATCATTTTCTTTTCGAGGATGTAAATAGAAGATATTCACATCGACATACAATAACATAACGCGTTAGATACAGATTTTCCTACTGATATGATGATTCAAAAATAGATATCAGAGAACAATGGATATATGTTTATACTACGATATAAATACTAATCATTTTATTATATTGGTAAGTTTATTGATCATATTTAGTGTCCTATAGAAATTGATAACATCGCCTACCAATAATTTCTTTTTATCCGATATGATTTTGACAGATACTAATGTAATAACAAACATGTTAATCTCGTTTATGATCTATTTATATTATATTTAGAATTCTTGGTCAACTCGATTGTCTTGTTTCATTTGCAACAGCTTCAGTTAATGGTAATTATATTCGGCCAAAATTAATTACTGAACAACAAAAAATTAATCTTATCGATTCACGTCATCCATGTGTAGAAAAACAAGATAATATTAATTTTATTTCGAATACAGTTGAATTAGATCGAAATAACCATCGATTTCAAATTATTACAGGTAAATTTTTATTATCATCGTAATATGAAAATAGAGATTTTATTATATAAAAAGAAAAAAAGAATAGAAACTAAATGCTTTGTTTTTTTAGGTCCAAATATGGGTGGAAAATCAACATATATACGTCAGG